CTATCTATCTATCTATCTATCTATCTATCTATCTATCTATCTATCTATCTATCTATCTATCTATGTGTTGCCATGGCATGTGTGTGGACAATTGGCAATAGTCAATTCTCTCCCTCTACCATATGGGTCTCAGGAATTGAACCAAGATTGTTAGGCTTGGCAGCAATCACCTTTATCTGCTAAGCCATCTCATCAGCCCCTCTGTCTGTTTCTTATTTACTTTGCCCCTGCAGAGACTTAACTGCTTTTCTCATTTGCTGCCTCTGGGTCTTTAGAGCATTCTTTGGCTGCTTTAGTGATTAACTGTCACTTGCTGGATTATTATTCTTGATATTAAAATCCTCAAGTTCATGTTTATATTATTATGGACATGAGCTGTGTTTCTTGATTGGGTCCTAATTGATACTGACCGGGGTGCAGGTGGTCCCAGGAGACAGGCTGATTGATTTCATTGTGCCCTTGGCCTTGAGCAAAGTGTTGAGCTCCTTGCCAACAGGAAACCGGAGACTCATAATCTACAACATGATGACACTGCAATTATGCCGTCACCTATGAGGGACTTTGATTCAACGCCAACTGAAGCACATGTCTTGGGTGCCCTGGTAACTTCTGCACTTGGTCCTTACCTCAGTCATGGTGACTGTGGGACACGTATGTGGTGGGGATGGATCCTTGAATGTACTGGAGCACACTCCCTAGAAAGCAAGTGACAAGGCCAGGTCATTTAATTCTCAGCTTAGATGATAGTTGGAGAGCCGTGGTGTTTCCGTGTCTTCTGCAAAGGAATCTTTGATTTTATGTAGCCACCGGGATGTGACTGCTGAAAAATGAATCATAAAATTTGATTGTGTGGGTTGCATCATTAAGATTTACAACGTTGGCAAGTGCCTTATGGGGAAACTTGGGGATGACTCATGGAAGACTTCAGTCCTCATGCTTGGAATAGGAGCATTTGATTGAATTCAGTGGAACGGAGACTCTCGGGTCTTGGAGTCACCCAGACGGGCCTCCCCTGCCAACAAAAATGACTTTTTGGTGTATTTTGTGTATCTGATTTTCCTTTGTTTGAAAACTCTGTGATGACCTGATGACCTTACAGGGGGCAGATGTCTTGAAAGGGGATGGCAGACCTTTTAAAGAGAAGTCACAAAGGCACTTCATGACCATTATATCCATAAACAAGGCCAAATCCCAATGTGCTTCAGCGAGTCAGGTGTACCCTGGGATGGGAGGGCAGACAGTTTACACAGCAACAGTGATGCAAAGGTTTGTTAATGGTGAGACTTGGCATAATCCCTGCGTATGGCATGGATGTGGGAGGTGATCTGAAGGATGGAAGAGGTTACATTGCCATTCTGAACCCATGGAGGCGGGTCAGGGATTTAACGTGCTAATTGTAATGGCTGAAGTTGGCTCTGACAGCCTACTTGTTTGCTTGGCAGAAACTTGGCCTTGGAGGTGACTTGGATTTTATTAGTTGAGATGCTATAGTGTCCCATGACATAATGTGGAGGAAGGGACTCCAAAAGCTCAAGGAGGAGT